TATTCTTTCCGCTCTGGAATCCCTTGTATCAGGAAGTTATTTTACCTTGAGTAAGCCTTGTTTAGCCTCCACTGATCGCTTGCTCTCATTTCTCTACCTCCCCCTGGAGCTTTAGCCTCCACTGATCGCTTGCTCTCATTTCTCTACCTCCCCCTGGAGCTTTAGCCTCCACTGATCGCTTGCTCTCATTTCTCTACCTCCCCCTGGAGCTTTAGCCTCCACTGATCGCTTGCTCTCATTTCTCTACCTCCCCCTGGAGCTTTAGCCTCCACTGATCGCTTGCTCTCATTTCTCTACCTCCCCCTGGAGCTTTATAAGCCTCCACTGATCGCTTGCTCTCATTTCTCTACCTCCCCCTGGAGCTTTAGCCACCACTGATCGCTGCTCTCATTTCTCTACCTCCCCTGGAGCTTTATAAGCCTCCACTGATCGCTGCTCTCATTTCTCTACCTCCCCCTGGAGGTTTAGCCTCCACTGATCGCTGCTCTCATTTCTCTACCTCCCCCTGGAGCTTTAGCCTCCACTGATCGCTGCTCTCATTTCTCTACCTCCCCCTGGAGCTTTAGCCTCCACTGATCGCTGCTCTCATTTCTCTACCTCCCCCTGGAGCTTTAGCCTCCACTGATCGCTGCTCTCATTTCTCTACCTCCCCCTGGAGCTTTAGCCTCCACTGATCGCTGCTCTCATTTCTCTACCTCCCCCTGGAGCTTTAGCCTCCACTGATCGCTGCTCTCATTTCTCTACCTCCCCCTGGAGCTTTAGCCTCCACTGATCGCTGCTCTCATTTCTCTACCTCCCCCTGGAGCTTTAGCCTCCACTGATCGCTGCTCTCATTTCTCTACCTCCCCCTGGAGCTTTAGCCTCCACTGATCGCTGCTCTCATTTCTCTACCTCCCCCTGGAGCTTTAGCCTCCACTGATCGCTGCTCTCATTTCTCTACCTCCCCCTGGAGCTTTAGCCTCCACTGATCGCTGCTCTCATTTCTCTACCTCCCCCTGGAGCTTTAGCCTCCACTGATCGCTGCTCTCATTTCTCTACCTCCCCCTGGAGCTTTAGCCTCCACTGATCGCTGCTCTCATTTCTCTACCTCCCCCTGGAGCTTTAGCCTCCACTGATCGCTGCTCTCATTTCTCTACCTCCCCCTGGAGCTTTAGCCTCCACTGATCGCTGCTCTCATTTCTCTACCTCCCCCTGGAGCTTTAGCCTCCACTGATCGCTGCTCTCATTTCTCTACCTCCCCCTGGAGCTTTAGCCTCCACTGATCGCTGCTCTCATTTCTCTACCTCCCCCTGGAGCTTTAGCCTCCACTGATCGCTGCTCTCATTTCTCTACCTCCCCCTGGAGCTTTAGCCTCCACTGATCGCTGCTCTCATTTCTCTACCTCCCCCTGGAGCTTTAGCCTCCACTAATCGCTTGCTCTCATTTCTCTACTTCCCTCTGGAGCTTTATAAGCCTCCACTGATCGCTTGCTCTCATTTCTCTACCTCCCCCTGGAGCTTTAGCCTCCACTGATCGCTGCTCTCATTTCTCTACCTCCCCCTGGAGCTTTAGCCTCCACTGATCGCTGCTCTCATTTCTCTACCTCCCCCTGGAGCTTTTAATCCATCTCTACACTGGCTACACGCTCACACATTTTTGAATTTCCGATTGTCAATGTTATATCTTTACCTCTGGCACCATTTTGATTAACCTGCTCCTTTATAGTTTTCAATGCCTTTTTCGGTGCTCTAACAAGGACTTTTTCAACCTCAGCCTATTTGTCGCTCGAACCAATACCCAGACACAATTTCTTGCTGTCGAATTCAGGTCCATTTCAGGTCAAATTTTCAGGTAAATTTGATCCGATGAGAGCAAGAAAAGTCCATTTCAGTTCAAAAATTACCTCAAATTGACAAGAATAATTGTATGTTAAATCGACATGGTCCTGAATTTGACTTGATTTTCAGGTCAGGTCAATTTCAGGTTATATTTTTTTCAGCTCAAACAAAAGGACATGAAGTCGAAGAAACTTTGCCTGTGTATGGCTCTTTGAAACTAATTCTAAGTGCTGAAATCACTCTTAAATTCAGTAATTTCCTTTGTTAAAATAACATTGTTTGGTACTAAACTAACCCTCGTCGGTTGTCTATCCTTCAGTTAATTTCGGGCTTTGTCTTTATTTATACTTACAATCCTTGTAACATTTTTTTGGTTTAAGTTTTCCCATACTGTGAAGATACGTAATTTTGTCAAGTTGTTAATTGTCACTGTTTATTTTGGCATTTCCCTTGTTGGAATCTGGTTTCTCCCCCAACCATTATAGGTTTCCTCACTACACCGACTCATGGGATAAACCTGCTAGGAGTTCGTGAATATTTTGGTTACTGAACTAGTGGGTAACACCATGGATGTTATTTTATTGATCATTCGTCTAATTGTGACGTCAAGTAACAATGCTTTGTGATGTCATCTTCCATTATGACGTCATAGTTCATGGCAAATTTTCTGAATCCTTGTTGCATAAAATGTATGTTATGAAATGTTATTTAAGGAATGATTTTTATTTTTTCAACATTTATGAGGTCATAACAATAATGGGTTTATGAACATATTGAATGAATCGCGTTAGCGATTCATGTAAAATATGTCCAAAAACCCATTGTTGTTATGACCTCATAAATGTTGAAAAAATAGATATCATTCCTTATATTTACATTGACGAATCCTTTCAGTGGATCGATATAACAACGAATAAAACAAATAAACAGGGTTTGTTCCTGCTTATACACGGGTGCAACGCAGTGGCGAGAACAGTGTTTTTTCGCGGGGAAATGTGACACTATCGTGAGAGATCTTAGCAACCGTCAACAACAATAACACAACAAAATGTAGTTCCATATTCAATGTTTATTTGTAGCACAGGACACGTGAATACGTGGATATTTCACCAAGCACAGTTCAATAATATTTTAAGATGTAAGAATTAAGCATCTAGGTCGGTCGTTCCGAGTGAGTTGTTTTTGTAGTGTATTACTACGCAGTGTGATCAGGTTACTATCAGTTCCCACGTGCTGAGATTCTATGAACACATGTGTTATGCATTTATGAACGTAATTTTTGTCAATGGGTCTAAGCATACAGAATGTAAATATTGTGAAATGAAATAAAGTTGAAATCAAACGTTGTGGGAGAAAAAGGTCCCAAAAATCGTAATGGTTTGACTATCAAGGTTATTTAACCTCGTGTCTGTATGCAATTTGAAAATTAAGTAAATCGAGTTAGATAAACATGATAACCAACCATCACTCGTTTGGGAACCTTTATATAAATGTTTTTCTTTTATGTTCGTCAACGATTCTTTTTGAGTGTTATTTTAACATTCCCTGATACAACATTTTCCTCTGTTTGAACTTCGATGTCAGACATGATCCCTTCCTTAAGTGATTCTGCCTTGTGTTCCACACTTGAATCTATGACCTTGCCTATAATTCGAGTTTTTGCTTCAATAATAGGAAACAATCAGTTGTTTGCTGTTTTATGTTTTATGTTCATATTTTATGACAGATAGGGGCCGGGAGACCGGGTAAGTTCGGCCCATTTTTTATCAAGTTAAGTCGTTCTTGGCAGTATGGCACATTTGTTGACTGAATGTGTGTATATACACCATTTGGAAGATTATTTTTTTTGATAAAATAATAGCAAAAGGGCAAACAGGTCCGTATATGAAGTCTGGCCCTAGTTGAATTCAGCATATTTATGACGTCATAAAGCATCCAACGTCATATTTCCCCGCCAATTTCACGACTGACTATATGTGTTGCATAGGCCGAACTTGGCCCAAATTGATCGATGTTTCAAAGATTTCGTGTGTTACAGCAATACGAAAGACAATGCTTGGCTTTTATGTATACCAACATGTGGAGCTGTCAGTGTGTTACACGTTTGACATAAATGATAAATAAGTATCAATTCGGGTTTCAGAAAGTGCGCAAAACTAAATTTAATAATTCAGTTATCCTCGCCAATTTTTCGTGTGAATGTCCCGCCCAGTCAACTGAACTGCTAAGATACTCAAAATTGTTAATATTTGCTCAAATTCCAAAATAGCAGGGGCCGAGTGGCCTGACTTACCCCCGGGCCGAACCTGCCCCAGTCTCCCCTACAACAAGTCTATGTAAAGCTGTCGTTCTCCGAAGGACCTTTTAAAGAACACTTGACCACAGCACACGTACATCACAGTGTATAGAAAAATCTCGCTTACCTATTAATTGCTGTCGACCCTCCCTCATTAAGACTCCTCATTTTGACCAAAATTTAACAATCTCCCTCGAAACTCCCTCATTCAAGTCCAAACTCACACAAACTCAAAATCTACATACTGTGGTCAAATGATCTAGTAACTACAGGGTGTATGTAATTATCATAACAGGTATTATGTCTGAATCAAATGCATGTTTTTTGGAGTTATTTTGATACATAAAAAGGGAAAGATAAATTCAGCAAAGCAATTTCAGTAGTGTTTCGCGCACTTTCCTCATTGGAAACATAGAATAAGGAAGACCTCCCTCATTGGATACCACAGGCATTTGTTTCTTTCATAAATAATAATATGAGTAGGGTTTGACCTAATTTCTATTGTCAAAACCATTTTTATTGACAGAAACAAATGCCTGTGCTATTTACATGGACTTTTGAGTCTTTAAAATATGCGACAACGCTGTCGTCCTTCCTTCCTTTTGTGGATGGTTGCTGGTTGACATTTTCCTGTCAGTTCGTGGTCTTTTTGTTTTATCGTTGACGGTGACTTATATTATTAAGTGTTATGCATGCTTTACCTTTTAGATTTGTGATAACGCCACTCCACGAGTGGGGGACCTGAAATATATATTTCAAAATATTAATAAATGCTGAATAATGTGCATTATTACTACTATGCTGTCGAATCTCACAAGTGTAACTGTTGATTGCTATTCAAACGTTTGGTCATAAGAGGAATCCGGAAATATGCACCGTTTCCGAAACGAAAATTAATTTATTCAACATGGCGGTCTCATTAAAAAGTCACCGTGAGTAAACATTTTGAAAATCTATATTCACTCTATGATGCCTCAAGCTGTTACTCACTTTAACCGAGGATAGATTGATCAAACTTCACTGGCCGAATCCTTTAATCAATGAATGATACATGACTTACACATTGCTGGACACCATGCATGATTCGGTGAATTATTGTGATCTCCACAAGATTTTCAGCCCCGGCCCAACTCCCAGATAACATTCGCTACAATCCCACTAGGTTAGGGCCGGTATATTCGGTCAGCCGGTATTTCGGATATTAACTAATAAAAATCATGACATTTCATGTCCGGGGTATTAAGAACATTTACAATTAAACTATAGAGTTGTTCTTTGCATGTGGGCTGTAATATTTAAATCTAAAAATAAAAAGTTACACATCAGTTGACAGTTCCAAGTTCGGCTAAGAAAATGAGTAGCAGCATTGCTCTGGTGGATAAACTCATGCTTTAGGACACAACATTCAGAATGTTTTGATTTAAACTTTTTATTCTTTGTTGCAGCACGGACTTAGATCTAATTCCGTGGTTGCAGTAACCAAGAGAAAAACTACATGGGTTTGCTGTAGTTTTGGTTACCTCCCTTTACACTGGTCTCTGTGCTATAAAAGGTCTAGTGTGATCTTGGTTTTGCATAAATTTATCTAGGAAATAAGATTTTTATTTCTATTAATTTTAGTGGGACTTTTTCTGTATTATTTAAACAAAAATATAGTTAAAAGAATGAGTGAATCTCAGGAAGCTGAAACAAATTGTTCTTCCTCCTGATTACAAGTCATGCTCAGCTTGAGTGTTTAAACATTTTCATATCTCCTGTAATGTGCTGTTTTTACTTGAGTGAAGTCGGTGTTAACTTAATCACTTTAGAGATGGGTGATTTTTGTGACTATAACTATGTTTGAGAAAAATATATTTTGCCAGGGTTCTTGCAGGCATTATTGAAGTGTTGGCCTTGAAAATTAAATTAAATTATAAGGCCCTAAAAGCCTGTAAATGTAACTAAAACGTTTTGAAAGGTCAAATTGAGCTTTGACGAAATGATAATAATTTTAAGTACGACTTGTTTTAATTTTGGTGTTTTATTGTTGTAATTCTTCCAGCAAATGAATTCAGAAAATGTACAAGAAAATAAAAAAATTGTTGGAGGTTTTAAACATAACAAAAGATGTAAATTGGGGTGTTCCTGTTTCAGGTATATAAATGACTTTTCAGCAATATTGCTGTGCAGCACAAAAAATCACAGTGAATCTTGACCTGTCCTCTTGGCGATGGTAAATGATCAGATACCTGTGTTGTTGCAGGCAGACCTGTAGGGATTGAAGCAGCGATGTATCTTGTCACAAGCATTTGCAGTCGGACATCCTTGTAACTCAAAAGTAACAAAGGTAAGTACTATATGACTGTTTATTTGCTGCCTTTTCAGCTTTTGATGGAAAATATCTGTTAACCAAACTATGTTGCCTATATATGGCTATTTGTGGGCTCTTTGATTTCCAGAATTTTCCCCTTTTTGAATGATTTTTGATTGAAACATCAAATATATAAATGGATTAGGCACAATCCAACTGATATTCAGCCTTTTCCTAATGTTTTTTAATGATGTGTCAATACCTTTCCCATATATCATATTGAACACTTAAGGTTTAATTTTGGTAAATGTTAAAGACTCCCTATGTCCCTAGTATGAGGAAGGTTAGGTATATGGGCAATGCCCACATGTTAAACAAGTATGCCTTCAAAGTCATTATGACATATATAGCTCGTCACTGATTTACTCTAATATTTAGGTAGTCAGTCAGAATTAAGGTGATAAGACCTGAGGTCAAGCTTTTTTTTTACACTGACCATGACATGAAGAATGTGGGTCAGTTCCATAACAAGTTTATTGCATTGAAGACTTTTTAAAGACTTCCATGATTATGAAGTTTGTTTATCAAAACATGTACTTTTATTAACCTCATTTCCTAATTGACATCAGACCATAAGATGATGGCTGATTTGATCATATTAGGGCTTAAAGTTTCTGTTGATTCCCAATAGTTTCATAGAGGTCACAATTCTTTGACAATGAATAGCATTCTTGTTCGAGACACAACAAAAATGATTTGTTGTGATCAAATTAAAACTTATAGCATATTAAAGTAATGCAATCAGTTGCAAAACACCAGGTGGGGGTTTCAGAATTAATGAGCTTGAAAGTGTTTAAAGCACATGTATGAAAAGCGATCTTAGCACTCAAAAACTAAAAGATAAGTCCAGTGTCCATGTAATGCAAGGCATGCTGGTTTGTATAGAGTATCTGTCAGAGTAGCGTAGTGATTTTGGGATGATTTCCTGGGGGTTGTGTCCCTTAACTTGATGTAGAGATATTAGTTCTACATCAGAAATATATTTTTAATTTCTGTTATTTCTTTGAGTAATGTTCTGATTTTCATTCAGTTACTTACATTTCTGACTGATATTGTGAAGTACTGCCACCAGGTACTTACCTTTTCGGCTGACAATTATGAAACTTTTTTTAGTACATACAGGTTATTGCTTAATTGAGATTTGTTCTGTATTTCAAAATACATTTGAGCAGGGGATTAGAGTTAGCTTCTGGCTTGCACTTTTAGCTTTGTTTACCAGGTATAATCTATTTATTTGCGTGTATCAATTAACAATTTGTCTTTAAACTTTCATAAATGTCCCAAATTAGGTCACAGGTAAAACTGAAACATATCAATAAAACTGTTTAGTTTTGGCCTAATTATCAGAGAAAAGGTATCATATAGCTATCAATATAAGTCAACAAATAATGAATTCCCAATTATCCGGGACTTGTTTCTGATAAATGTGCATGGTCAACATACATAGATGCTTTAATCTATTGATATGGTACTGTATCAATACATTTGCTATATGACATTTAATAAAATAAAATATGTTTTATGAGAAACAATCTTGTATTGACCAGATATTTATTAGGTTATGAAAAATTGGGAAAGATGGAAACATGTATCAGATAAAATTGGTTTTTCGTAGTAAATGGATGAAGAAAGTCTGCGGAATAAGAAATTGATTTGGTGTTTCTAACTGATCAAGAACTCAAAAAAGAACTAATCTGTACAGTAGCCAAACTTTATTGGAGCTCTTTTATAACATCAACATTGCATGTAGTTTATATTCCAGACTTCATGTTGCCAACAATGACTTTGAAGATGTTGTGATATTTCATTGATTTTTTTATACACATTTAACATCCAGTTTCATTGCTCAATAAAACATGTAGTTGAGTGAGTGGAGACATGTTTACGTTCATGTTTTTGTAGCCACAAGTTACAAGTTTCAAGGACTAGTAATGCACACAGATAACATTCTTGTGCCTATAAGTATCGAATGTCTTCAATCTGTAAAATGGGAAATATGTGTCCTAATCTCATTTTCACAATGAGCATTATATTATTAGTGTTTAAGGTTGATGTACGTGTCAAGACCATATCTAAACTCCTGTTGTAGACACATGAGGACGAGATTGTTGTGGCATAAATGTCCCCCCTTCCATCCTACAGTACAAGATACAAAATGTATACAAACCTGCAAATTATATTGCTGTGGCCCTAAATGATATGTACAAAAATTAGGTTGTTGTGGCCCTAAATGATATGTACACAGAATTAGGTTGATGTGGCCTTAAATGTTATGATCACCACAGAATTAGGCTGATGTTGCCCGCAGTGTTATGTTCACCACAGAATTAGGGTGATGGGGCCCGCAATGTTATGATCACCACAGAATTAGGCTGATGTGGGCCGCAATGTTATGTTCACCACAGAATTGGGTTGATGTGGCCTTAAATGTTATGATCACCACAGAATTAGGCTGATGTTGCCCGCAGTGTTATGTTCACCACAGAATTAGGGTGATGTGGCCCGCAATGTTATGATCACCACAGAATTAGGCTGATGTGGCCCGCAATGTTATGTACACCACATAATTAGGTTGATGTGGCCAGCAATGTTATGTTCACCACAGAATTTGGTTGATGTGGCCTTAAATGTTATGATCACCACAGAATTAGGCTGATGTTGCCCGCAGTGTTATGTTCACCACAGAATTAGGGTGATGTGGCCTTAAATGTTATGTACAACACAGATATAGGGTGATGTGTCCTGCAATGATATGTTCACCACAGAATTAGGCTGAGGCGGCCTTAAATGTTATGTTCACCACAGAATTAGGCTGAGGCAGCCTTAAATGTTATGTTCACCACAGAATTAGGGTGATGGGGCCCGCAATGTTATGATCACCACAGAATTAGGCTGATGTTGCCCGCAGTGTTATGTTCACCACAGAATTAGGCTGAGGCGGCCTTAAATGGTATGTTCAACACAGAATTAGGTTGATGTGGCCCTAAATGATATGTACAGAGAATAAGGTTGTTGTGGCCCTAAATGATATGTACACAGAATTAGGTTGTTGTGGACCTAAATGATATGTACAGAGAATAAGGTTGTTGTGGCCCTAAATGATATGTACACAGAATTAGGTTGATGTGGCCTTAAATGTTATGTACAACACAGATATAGGTTGATGTGGCCTGCAATGATATGTTCACCACAGAATTAGGCTGAGGCGGCCTTAAATGTTATGTTCACCACAGAATTAGGTTGATGTGGCCTTAAATGTTATGATCACCACAGAATTAGGTTGATGTGGCCCGCAATGTTATGTTCACCACAGAATTAGGTTGATGTGGCCCGCAATGTTATGTTCACCACATAATTAGGCTGATGTGGCCCGCAATGTTATGATCACCACAGAATTAGGCTGATGTGGCCCTCAATGTTATGATCACAACAGAATTAGGTTGTTGTGGCCCGCAATGTTATGATCACCACAGAATTAGGTTGATGTGGCCCGCAATGTTATGTTCACCACAGAATTAGGTTGATGTGGCCAGCAATGTTATGTTCACCACAGAATTAGGCTGATGTGGCCCGCAATGTTATGATCACCACAGAATTAGGTTGATGTGGCCCGCAATGTTATGTTCACCACAGAATTAGGTTGATGTGGCCCGCAATGTTATGTTCACCACAGAATTAGGTTGATGTGGCCCTCAATGTTATGTTCACCACAGAATTAGGTTGATGTGGCCCTAAATGTTATGTTCACCACAGAATTAGGTTGATGTGGCCCTAAATGTTATGTTCACCACAGAATTAGGTTGATGTGGCCCTAAATGTTATGAACACAGAATTAGGTTGATGTGGCCCGCAATGTTATGATCACCACAGAATTAGGTTGATGTGGCCCGCAATGTTATGTTCACCACAGAATTAGGTTGATGTGGCCCGCAATGTTATGTTCACCACAGAATTAGGTTGATGTGGCCCGCAATGTTATGTTCACCACAGAATTAGGTTGATGTGGCCCGCAATGTTATGTTCACCACAGAATTAGGTTGATGTGGCCCGCAATGTTATGTTCACCACAGAATTAGGTTGATGTGGCCCGCAATGTTATGTTCACCACAGAATTAGGTTGATGTGGCCCGCAATGTTATGTTCACCACAGAATTAGGTTGATGTGGCCCGCAATGTTATGATCACCACAGAATTAGGTTGATGTGGCCCGCAATGTTATGTTCACCACAGAATTAGGTTGATGTGGCCCGCAATGTTATGTTCACCACAGAATTAGGTTGATGTGGCCCGCAATGTTATGTTCACCACAGAATTAGGTTGATGTGGCCCGCAATGTTATGTTCACCACAGAATTAGGTTGATGTGGCCCGCAATGTTATGTTCACCACAGAATTAGGTTGATGTGGCCCGCAATGTTATGTTCACCACAGAATTAGGTTGATGTGGCCCGCAATGTTATGTTCACCACAGAATTAGGTTGATGTGGCCCGCAATGTTATGTTCACCACAGAATTAGGTTGATGTGGCCCGCAATGTTATGTTCACCACAGAATTAGGTTGATGTGGCCCGCAATGTTATGTTCACCACAGAATTAGGTTGATGTGGCCCGCAATGTTATGTTCACCACAGAATTAGGTTGATGTGGCCCTAAATGATATGTACACAGAATTAGGTTGATGTGGCCCTCGATGTTATGTTCACCACAGAATTAGGTTGATGTGGCTTAAAATGTTATGTACACCACATAATTAGGTGGATGTGGCAAGCAATGTTATGTTCACAACAGAATTAGGCTGAGGCGGCCTTAAATGTTATGATCACCACAGAATTAGGTTGATGTGGCCCGCAAGGTTATGATCACCACAGAATTAGGTTGATGTGGCCCGCAATGTTATGTTCACCACAGAATTAGGTTGATGTGGCCCGCAATGTTATGATCACCACAGAATTAGGTTGATGTGGCCCGCAATGTTAT